CCACCCAGTCCATCCCTGTGTGCACACACATGCCGCCTCTGAGCCCACCCCCTTTCCCAGCAGGCCCCCACCCCCACCCCAGCCCTGGTGCTGGTGGGGCCCTGCTCAGCTTACCCCCCTCCCTGCAGATCGTCTCCCAGGGCCAGGTCAAGGCCGAGAGCATCATGCCTGACCTGGGCAAGCAGATACAGCACATGCTGCTGGCGGAGCTGGCTGCGTTTCTGAGGAGGTGGGTGTGTGCGCAGGCGCGCACAGGGGGCCCTGCAGCGTCCTCCCTGCGCCCAGCTGGGGGTCCAGGCTAGACCAGTGCCCTCCCGGGCCCTAGGGGTGTCTGTCCCCCTGCACTGGGCACTGAGGGCCCCACTCTGCTGGGCACAGCTCCCAGCGGAGCACCCTCCAGCTGCAAGGGGATGCCTCCCGAGGGACTGAGACCCCGGCCTCCCCTTCAGGTGGCACCTCCAGTCTCCGCCCCCCAATCTCCTGGCTGCCACCTCCCCACTTCTGAGGACCCTTCCATTTACCCATGGCCCCCTCCAGGCTCCCAGAGCTTGGCGGCCCCCTGCTCAGGAGCTGGGCAGGACCTGGCTCCATTGGCCCCGAGAGCGAAGTCAGCCGTGTGGTGCCGGGGGCCAGCTGCCGCCTTAAGCTGAGGGGCCACCCCTGGGAAAGTGCGCTGTAACCCGGGCGCTGCTCCTGTCCCAGTGTTTGTGCTGGTCCTGCAAGTGCCTCTTCCTGTCTCACCAGCTACCAGCGAGCCTTTGAGGACTTTCTGGAGAGGTGCAAACAGCTGCGAAATTATAGGGCCAATGTCATGGCCAACATCAACAATTGCCTGTCCTTCCGGTGAGAGGGTGAGGGCTGAGGGCGGTGAGGGCGGTGAGGGCGGTGAGGCTGGGAGGCCAGGAGCGGGTGTGGGAGCAGAGCACCAGCCTGCCTGTTGGCGAGAAGGGGCTGCTGGGAGGTAGAGGAGAGTGCGTGGTGGGGGGTGAGGTAGGTGTGGCGGGGAGGCCACAGCAGCGTAAGCAGCCGTGGAATAAATGAAGAAGGTCTGTGGGAAACGGCTGTGTGGTGGGCCCCGCCTCAGGCAAAGGGTTCACTGGTGATTTTATCCTCGAACAGCGGGCAGTGATTCTGTCTGTTAAGCAGCTGAGCACACAGGTGTGCAGAGGCGGAGCCACACGCCCCCAGTTAGGAGAGGATGTGGCCTGGGGGTGTGCGGGCAGTGAGCAGACTGGGCCTGCCTGGTGGGTATAATGGAGTGACTTGGACTTGCTCCCAAGGGAATGGGGAGCCATTGAGGGTTCCAGAGTGAGGAGGTGGTTTAGGAAGATGGGCCTCGGGCTAACTGGCTCTCTGGTACGGGCCATGGGCCAGCAGGGCCGGTGTGACTGACCTCCCTGCCCCATGTCCTTCCAGGATATCCTTGGAGAAGTGGCAGGCGCCACAGGGCCTCCTGGGCCCCCTGAATGAGCTCAAGAGCCACGGCTTTGACACCCTGCTCCAGGGCCTGTTCTGGGACCTGAAGGTAGCTACGCCCTGCCCTGGGCCCGCTGAGGCTTGTGCATAGGACATGGGGGTGGGAGGAATGGTAGGAGCCCAGCTGGCATGTGGAAGGCACGGTGTGGGGCCGGGTGTAGAGAGGCTGGTGTACCCAGCGAGGGGCCATGGAGGCCTCGACCTCGCCCCCACCATTTTGGCCTGGTGCTTGGCCTCAGAGGGGCCGCCCAGGGCTGGGAGGACACAGAAAAGCTTCAGCGTGCCCCCACCCAGTCCCTAAGCTTGCATACACTCCCTCCCTCCCTGCCACGCGCCCCGCCCCCCCTATGCCGAACTCCAGCTGTGATGCTCAGAGTCTCTGGCAGCCACCGCCACGCCATGTCTGCCTGGGCCAAGAAACCCACAGAAAGCCCTTGTTACTTTAGCAGAGGGTGAGGGTCCCCGGAGAAAAGCAGGAGGGGTTCCATGCCTGCCCGCCGTGTACCCAGCGACCAGAGTGGGAGGCGTGGGTGGCCAGTTGGCGGTGAAGGCCACACAGTGACCCGGGGTGACTTGGCACCAGTCAGGCGCGAGGCTTTGTTTATACAGGAATTTATTTGGGGGCGGAGGGGTGGGGGGAGGGTGGAAAAGGCCTCCGCAGGCCGCCTGCGATGCAGGGGCCACAGCTGGGTGTCCTTGGAGAAGGGTACACAGACCCCCCTCCACTTCCTGCCTGTGACCTGAGTCCTGTCCTGGGTCCCTGGCCCCTGGGCCACCCCGAGAGTCAGTGTGCGTGTCTTCGTGTGTGGCTGGCAGCCTTCCCCTGCAGGGCGGGTCCAGATATCCTGCTTTTCTCCCGCTGCAGCCGCTGTTCAAGAGGTTCACACAGACCCGCTGGGCGGCCTCTGCGCAGACCCTGGAGGAAATCGTCTCCACCGTGGAGACAAGGCTGCCCGAGTTCTCAGAACTGCGCGAGTGCTTCCAGGAGGTGAGGCGCTGGGCTGGGCTGGGCCGGGCCTGGCAGCGGTACAGCGGGCATGGGCTCACACAGGCCTGTGCACGCACCCACCAGCACTGCACACGCACACACATGTATGCACTCCTTTGCCCTGGCATCTGTCCTCCCTGAACTCCTGGCCCCGAGGCTTCAAGCTCCTGTCAGGGGAGGGTGTGAGCTCCGTGGGGAGCTGGCTCACGGCCCTGCCTCTGCCCCTGGCCGCGCAGGAGCTCATGGAGCTTGTCCACCTGCACCTGGTGAAGGAGTACATCGTGCGGCTCTGCAAGCGGCGCGTGGTCCTCAAGACCGCGGAGCAGCAGCAGCAATTGGCCGGGCAGGTCCTGGCCAACGCCGAAGTCATCCAGCACTTCTGCACTCAGATTGTAAGCCCCGACTCCACCCCCCTAACCACCCACCCCCGGTCCCCCCATGGGCTGCCCTTGCCCTCTGGGCCTCCCCAAGCTCCATCTGTTCTGGCGGAACCAGTCTGGGCCCGGGGGCACTTCTGGAGCAGGGGCGGCCTCCCTCCAACCAGGCCTGTGCTTGCAGGGCTCCCCGGCCACCTGGCTGCACTACGCCGTCCCGACGCTCGCCGAGATCATCCGCCTGCAAGACCCCAGTGCCATCAAGATCGAGGTGGCCACTTACGCCACCTGGTACCCCGACTTCAGGTGAGACCGGGCAGCCCAGGACCTGGGCAGTCAGCATGGCCCTGCCGGTCCCCACTGTCAGAGCCTGGCTTGGCTGCGTCAGCCCCTTTGGGGTGGGTGGCGCTCCAGTACTGGCCACACAACGCAGTCCTGGTGCTGACCTTGCTGAGGGCTGCGACTGCCGGCGTCCGGGCAAAGCCTCACAGCGGCTCACTCACTTGACCCTCACCACCGCCCTACCAGGCTGACACTTCCCTTCGTTAAACATATATTTGTATTGATTTCAGAGAGGAAGGGAGAGGGAGAGAGTGACAGAAACATCACTGATGAGCGAGAATCACTGAGCAGCTGCCTCCTGCACGCCCCCTACTGGGGATTGAGCCCACTACCCGGGCACATGTCCTTGACCGGTATCAAACCTGGGACCCTTCAGTCCGCAGGCGGATGCTCTAGCCACTGAGCCAAACGGGCTAGGCCAGACTGATGCTTTTCACCCCTGATTTACACATGAGGCCTGGAGAGCCAAAGGCACGTGTCCAAGGTGACACAGTGAGTCAGTGGTGGAGCTAAGATGACAAATATAGGCAGTCTGGCTCCACAGTCCACACTCTTAGCCTTTGATGATACTGCCCCTTGGAGGGGAAACTGAGGCCAGAGAGACCAGGGACTTGCTAGAGGCTGTAGCAGGTCAGTGATGGAGCTGGGGTCTAACACTCAGCCTAGGGATCCTTGGGGGCTGGGGCTTGGACCTGGGCCCTGGGTCCTGGTCCCCTGTTCCAGAGTGGCGGTTGCCTGAGGATCTTGTGAGCCCAGGAAATGGGTTTTGGGGCTGAGTCCTCTGACATGGAGGAGAGCGTTTGAATGGGCCCTGAATTGGATTGACAGCTCAGCCTAGTGTAGCCCCTGACTGATCCACTGCACTCATCCACCTAGCCACCCACTCACCTACACATGCACCCACTTATTCACCCACCCATACAAGCAGCATCTCCCCATCTACTCATCTAACCACCCATCTAGCTATCCAGCTATTGCCTCACCCACCATCCACAAGTCTACCCATCGAGCCACCCATTCATCTACACGTCCACCACCTATCCTTTCATGCATCCATCATCATCCACCCAACTCTGCATCTCTCCATTCACCTACCCATCCATTCACCCCTCAGCCTTCCATCCACTCACTCATTCATCCTTTCATCCATCCATCCATCCATCCATCCACTTATGCACTCACTCTTCCATCCATATATTCACCCACCTATTCATCCATTCATTCATCCATCCATCCATGCATCTATCCATCGACTTCCGCCCATCAACTCACTCATCCACCAGCCCACCCACAATTAGCAGTGGTCTGCCAGGTGCCAGGCTCGGTTCTAGGTACCAGGATGCAATGACATACAAGACGGAGCAGGCCTCCGCTCTCCCTCATGTGGTTTATAGTCCACGGAGGGTTCACAGTAGTCAGGCAAAGGGATACACCTGCACGTTGGAAAGGTTATGTAACCGGCAGGAGGTGCTGGCTTTCGGGACGGGAAGGCCTCTTGGGGGAGGTGACATTTTAGCTGAGACTTAAAGGTGAGAGAGCTGGTCCCCTCCAGAGTGTGTGGAAGAGGGACAGCCGGTTAAAGGCCTGAGGTGGCAGGAGCAGGCGTGCCCTCGGGGGGCCGGGGGCCATGCTGCTGGAGCTCATGGGAGGAGAGCGGGCGGCAGCTGCTGCGGGGCGCTGTGGCTCAGGCCGGAGGCTGGAGAGCGGGGAGGGTGTGAGCAGGGGCGTCGGTGACCGGCTGGACTGATGGGACTTCCTCCTGACAGCAAAGGCCACCTGAGCGCCATCCTGGCCATCAAGGGGAATCTGTCCAGCAGTGAAGTCAAGAGCATCCGGAGCATCCTGGACGTCCACACGGGGGCTCCCGAGGCCGCCAATGCCCTATTTTCACTTATAAAGGTTGGTTAGCTTTTCCTGTGGACTGACCCGCTTGTGAGCCCCGGCGAGCTTCGGACACACCCCACTTCGAGCCAGTCACCCCACCTGGCTTCCGGCCTCCCGGGCTTCCTGCCTTCTGATGCTGCTGCTGCTGCCGCCCAGCCCCGGCCTGGTGCAGGCCCGGGGCAGCTGGAACGGACGGCTCCCAGTTCGTTACCTGCCTGGTGGGGCGGGAGCACACCTCTGAGGAGCCAGAGACCATACCTGAGAAGTGGCCGTTGATCGTCATGCACTAAAGGAGCAGATTGGCCAGGGGTCAGCGACCCTGGGTCATCTCCTATCCAGGGGGCCATCCCCGGCCACCTCAGAGCTGCCCTCGTGGCCGGGGCTGAGTGCCTAGGGCCGGATGCCGAGTCTTACCTACCTGCCCCCTTCACCCAGGGCTGCGACCAGCTGGGCTCAGCAAGTCTGGAATGGAAGGCAGCTGGGAGGAAAGAAGGGAAAGATGAGCTCTTGCCTGGGCCTGGGAAGGGGCGGGCAGTCACCCGCAGGCTGGGGCAGAGCGGGCACCAGAGCCCCTCCAGGTTGCCCTGTGACCCCTGCAGCTCAGACCCCGACCCCTCTCTACTTGCCTTGCCCAAAGGCACCCCCTGCCCAGAAAGGGGCTTCCTGGGTCTTCTAGGGTTCAGGCTGCCCCCCAGGCAGGCCCAGGCCCAGGGGTGCCTTCCTGGGTCCTCCACTGGGCTGGGTAAGCTTGACCTCTGACCCCTCTGCACCTATATTAGTTTCTTACTGCTGCTATAACGAATTTCCACAAACTTAGTATCTTAAAACAAGACTAAGTTTCAGTTCTGGAGGTCAGAGTTCTGATGCGGGTCTAGTGGGCTGAAGGCAAGGGGCCGGCGCTGGGCCCTGCTGGCGGCTCCCGGGGGAGGATTCCTGGCCTCTTGTGGTTTTGAGAGGCCACCTTCCCAGAGGACTCGGCTTGTGGTCCCATCCATTTCAAAGCCGTTCACAGGGCAGGGCTTCAGGGCTTCGCTCCCGCCTCCCTCTTCCACTCGCAAGGAGCCCAGCCATTACCTTTGGCCCATCCAGACGGATAGCCCAGCACCGCGCGCTCTGTGAGGCCAGCTGGTTGGCAGCCTGATTTCATTCCCTTTCCGGCGAACCTCACATGGTCACAGGTTCCAGAGGTTAGGGCGTGGGCATCTTTGGGGGGCCATGGTTTCGCCCACCACGGCCTCCATTCGTCCCCTGCCCTGGAGAGCACCTGGTCCTACCCCAGGAAGACGTGTTCAGTTACCCCCGGCCTCGGCCCACCCCTAGGCCCTCTCAGCGGATTCAGGTGTGACTCGGCCTCTGAGGGCCCCGCCAGGTTGGGTGAGCTCTCTCTCCAGGGTCCGTCCCTCCGCCCAGGTACTTGGCCAGGAACTGGCCATGAAAACGGTGCACAGAGCCTTTGTACATTTGTTGTTCACGTGTTGGATGTCACTGACGTTATTTTTGATAGCACTGCTTTTGTATGCGTGTCCTCGGGACACGATCCGAGTTTTTATAGCTTGACATAAAGCTGACTTCAGAAGCGGCTGTGGAGTGATTCATTCGGGGAGCAGGGCTGGGCCTCAGCAGCTTTCTCAGGGTTTGGGGGTCTGGGCAGGCCTGTCCTCCTGGCTCTGTGCCAGGCCCGCAGCGTCCTTCCCTGTAATGACCTCCCCACACACTTTACTGAGGATGATGGGGGAGCGGGGAGGTTAGGACTCTGGACAATCATGTCAGCTCCACGCACAGGGCTCAGAGGGAATGTACTCCTGTGTCTGGGACTGACCTGAAGAGCTGTCGGCGGACAGAGGCCCGGCTCACCAGGGAGGCCCGTTTGCCTGCACAGCAAAGCCCAACAGGACACACACAGGACTCTGCAGCCAGGAAGCGAGGGCTTATTGGGAGTTGGTGGTGCCACAACCAGCGTCGCAGGTGCTCATGCTCGGACGGCCTGCGAGGGCTAGAGCGGGCGGGTGGGCCGGGCGTCTGGGCCCACGTCGCTGGGCAGCGCCTGCTCTGGTTTCCCAGGATGCAGTTCGTGGGTCATTCTGGAGCTGAAGCACAGCTGAGGCCTGGGCGTAACCATAAACACTGCCTCTGTGGTCAACAGCCCGAGGCTTGGCTATGAAGACCAGAGCCTCACGGTCCCAAGGGCGTAGCGAGGGCGGGGCGGTGGGTGAGTCAGGGAGGCCCGTTGGAGTCAAAGGAAAAACAAAATGGTGGGCAGATCAGATCTCTCCCATCCGGTCCAGGATTTGGGCAAGGAAGGGGGTACCTTGACCATCGGTTCCACAGAGAGGCAGGCAAGGGCACCACCTTCGGGGTCTGGGACCTGCAGGAAAGCCCTTGACCTCAGCAGCCTGGCTCAGGGTCAGAGGGAGCTGGAGCAGGAGGGAGGCCTTTCTGGCCAGTCCCACCTGTGGGGCCAGCAGGGATGGGCAGAGCCCACAGAGCAGCAGGGAGGGCGGAGGGGGGACGGCAGCCCCAGGAGACCCTTACCGGGCGCCCCGTGGTTGGCGGGCCCCAGTCCATGTGCCACCTGGGCTGCAGACTCTGCCCTCAGCCTCCCAGTGGAGCACCGAGTGGGGCAGGGAGGGGGAGGCGCAGTGACCCTCATGGGACCGCTGGGGCACAGGATGGGAGAGCCAGGACCAGGGGGACGTTTTGGGGTGAAAAACAGAGTCACATTTTTAAAAATGTATTTTTATTGATGTCAGAGAGGAAGGGAGAGAGAGAGAAACATCAATGATGAGAATCATTGATCGGCTGCATCCTGCACGCCCCACACTGGGGATCAAGCCTGCAACCCAGGCATGTGCTCTGACTGGGAGTCAAACCATAACCTCCTGGTTCATAGGGCGACGCTCAACAAGTGAGCCACACCGGCCGGGCCGAAGCCACATATTAAACCTGGCAAGCTCAGTGGTAGCCTTACAAACCCAGAGACCCACAGCAACCACACAGGATGAGCTGGAATTAAAATTCCTGACTACACGCGGGTTGAGGCGGGTCATCATGTCCTAGGCCGGCATCTCCTGACGAAGGTCATTCTGTCCCTTCTCTGGACTTGTGGCCTCTAAGACAACATGCCTTAGAAACGTCACAGCATCTCTTCCTCCGGCCACACCCTCCCCCCAGAGCAGCCTCATGTCATTGTGTTCCCAGAATACCACCTCCATGTGCTGGGGACATTAGCGGTCCTGTCCCCGCCAAGGGTGTGTCCACCCGTTTTACTTTTTATCCAATCCCAGAGGTCCCCCGTGCTTTCTCCCGCCTCCCTAGCCTCCCACCAGGGATCTCAGGTGACCCCTTCCGCCTCCCGCTTTGGTGCTAACATGTGGAAGACGCTGCAAAACTGCCACCCGCAGGCATGTTCTCCACCAGGAGAGTCTGCTTCCTGGCAATTGTTGTCAGTTTGGCTCAAATAAACTCACAAGAATTCTTACAGGTTTCTTACCTCGACAATTTTTGTTGTTGTTGTTAATCTCCACCCAAGGATATTTTTCCGTTGAGTTTTTAGAGAGAGTGGAAGGGGGAGGGAGAGACAGAGAGAAACACCGATAGAGAGAGAGACGTTGATTGGTTGCCTCCTGCACGAACTCTGACCAGGGCCGGGGAACCTGCAACCAAGGCAGGTGCCCTTGACTGAAATCAAACCCGGGACCCTCCAGTCCTTGGGCTGACGCTCTCTGTCCGCTGAGCAAACCAGCCAGGGCTGCCTCAACCTTTTATTTATTTATTTTTTAAATATTTTTATTGATTTCTGAGAGGAAGGGAGAGGGAGAGAGATAAAAACATCACTGATGAGCGAGAATCATGGGTCAGCTGCCTCCTGCACGCCCCACACTGGGGATCCAGCCCACAACCGGGCATGTGCCCTGACCGGGAATCGAACCCGTGATTTCCTGGTTCATAGGTCCATGTGCAACCACTGAGCCACGCTGGCCGGGCTGACTCATTTTAAATGGGGGCAGGTGTGTAGGGACCCAGAGGGTGAATTTAAACCCGAAAGGTCCTGGAGCACTGGGGTGGGGAGGGGGGCGGAGGGCAGGTGACTCTCAGGTGCCCACCCACCACGCTGGGGAGGAAGGAGGGGACATGGGTGGCACCTCGAGGTTCCTGTCCTTCCTGCTGCTCCTGCCACCGGGGTGGGGTGGGGGAGGGCTTGAGGTCCCACCCTGGTCACCAGTGCGGGCCACCCCCAGGTTCCACCTCAGTAACTTCCTGCAGCTGTGGCCCAGGAACCTATGCCTCAGAGGAGGCGGGAGTCGCGGGCACAGGGAGGGAAGGGGGGGGGGAGAGAAGGGGGGACGGTGCATGTGGAACAAGTGTGATCCATGGGGGAGGGGCAGTGGGGAAGGCAGCCCAGCGACATTCCTGGAGCTCCCGCCCCAAACAGGGAGCGAGTAGATGGGGTCCAAGTGCAGGGGGGGGGGAGGGGGGAGGCAGCCTGTGGCCTGGGCGTGCTCGCTGGGGAGGGGACACCCCCCCCCCCCCGGAAGGAACAGTGCAGGGGAGGAAACCGCTGGGCAAAGGCCAGGAGGACTAGGAAGGGTTCCTGTTTTAGGGGGAGGGAGAGAGAGAGAGAGAGAGAGCGCGTGCTCAGGCAGGGGTGGGTGAAGGCAGGGAGCGAGCAGAGCACAGAAGGGGGCAGGGCTCCCGGGCCTTAGTTGGGGCGGGAGTAGGGTTCACTTCAGCTGTAAGGAAGGAAGCACGGAGGGTCTCAAAGAGGCAATGGGGCTGATGAGACATGTGGTCCTTGGAAAGACCCTCCTGGCCTGCGGCGTGGCTCGGGGGCTGAGCAGCCATCGACCTATGAACCCGGAGGTCAGGGTTTGGTCCTGGTCAGGGCACCTGCCTCCCCAGTGTGGGGCCTGCAGGAGGCAGTGGATCAGTGATTCTCATCACTGATGTTTCTCTCTCTCCCTCTCCCTTCCTCTCGGAATCAATAGAAATTTCTATTTTAAAAAGATCCTTCTGGCTGCGGCGTGGAGAAGGGACAGGCCAGGCGACCATGTGTGTGTGGGCTGCCGGGCACAGATGTTATTGTGGGTGACGTGGAGGGAGAGGAGCTCGCTTCCGGGCAGGCGGGGGGGACCATTCCCTGAGCCGTGGACAAGACCCCGACCAGCCCGGGTCCGAGCTGGGGATGGCCTGGGAGGAGGGGGAGGCCGGGGAGGAGGGCAGTTAGGTTGGAGGGCCTGCGGGGAGGGGCTGTGTGGGCTCCTTGGAGTGTCCACGCTCAGGTGACCGCACTGCCCTGGCCCTGTGCGCACCCGGCGCCGCCCTCCGGGAAGGCCCTCGGCCTGGGCATCTC